GCAGGGTTTGCGTGAAATTATAAACGATGGCCGCCCGAAGACTAGTTCCTTTCATGGAGATTAACGGTTGCGGGGCCAACGAATGTGTAACATTTGCCGGATTTTGTGTCTGGGTTACAGGGACCACGCAACGAACCCATAACAGAGTTTCATTGGGCATTATTAAGCAGAAACAACTTTTGAGAATAACCCGCCTGGTAGGCTTGAAGGCCTTGGGCCATCACCTTGGCCAAGAGCAAGTCGAATGGGTGAGCATTCAACGGGGGGCTCAACAAGGGGTAGCTAAGGACCCCCAACACTGCCAAGAGATCATGAGGCGCGTTTGTAGGGTTCACATGTGGAGAAACTCCAATACAGAGTCACTTGAAGGGGGGCAAACGGTGAAACAAGTTCTAGGGCCATGATCGAAGCAGAATAGTTATTGAATGTTAACAAAAAATCCGACAGCCCTGAATCCACACCTCGGCAGCAGAGGCGGCGCACGAGGCATCGGCGAAGACTATCAATGAACTGTTTCCAGGAGCTGCAGGAAGCTCCTGCTCCGTACAAGGGTTGGGAAAGCAGAAGCTAGGGTGTAACAGCGAGGTACTTCCGGAAGGAAAGGACTAGGCCCAGGCTTCTAGGTGGGTTTCTGGAGTCCTGGTAGATGCCAGTCCTTGTCACTCCCCTAAACATCAGCTGAACGGACTTTTTTTGCCATCCGTTTGTCTCATGCGCTTCAGGCTATGTACCGAGTCAGCTGCCCATGTTCAGCAGCATCGCGGCACGAAATGCAGCTTTCCTTGCTCTGCCTTGCCAGTGAAGGCAGCCCAGTGTGGAGGATCTTGCAGCTGCTGTGGAGGATCAACTGCAGCGGGGGACGTTGAGGTGGTTGTCCAGCTCGCGTTAGGCGCCAGCATTGCTATCCAAGCCCTTACAATGCCTCGTCCAGGCTGCCTTGGGGGGCCTCAAAGGCTTGGAAGATCTCTGAAGTCTTCATGCATCGGCAGTCGCTTCGCAATCTTCCTTGCCACGGAGCTTGCTCAACATGCCTGGGCAGGGCCGCTCTCTCTCTGCAACTGTTGGTTTGCAGCTTTGCAGCATGCAGCAGAGGTTTTTCTGCAAGAGCCTATGATCAGCTCATCATCCTCAGCATCCTCGCAGCTGTTCTCTCTGAGCAGGCAAACAAGCGTTGCTGGAAGAGAGAACTAGCAAACCTTGTTATCAAAGCATGCCACAGCATTGTCGAGGCTCTTTTCCAGGTCGGCAGAAATCGTCCTGCACGCAGAACGTCTTCAGATCCTCTCCCATGGACTTTGCATCAATCATGTCTCCCCCATGCTCCCGCACCATGCGAGCACAGAAAGTCTCCTTAGTGAACCATGTTGAACATAAAGGATTGAAACAGTAAACCATTGAACCTGACGCAACGCAAAAACGAATTCGTAGATCTGTCAGGTGGCAGACTCCTTCGGGGACTTGGCCCCAGACACAGCTGCAACTTGAGGAGCAATGTCGGAGCAGTATTTTTTCAGCTTCTGCCGCGCCTCTGACTCCGTGAGGTCCCGGTAGCGGGCGTTTAGCACCTCTTCGGTTAGGGTCTGGCAAAAGACGCACTGCATAATTCGGCCCATCTGCAGCATCTTGGCAGGGGGCAGCTCTGTCGCGCATGTGATCGAAGTCAGTAAGCAGGCCCAAGGCCACAGCTTGGCTCCCATGGCTGCAAGCACACCCATCACCTCCGTTCCTTCTGCCCAATGCTAATCCTGTGCTGAGGTCTGTACATGTCTGTAGAACCTTTCTGAGCCTGACGTAGCCAGAATGTGAAGCACCAACGGTCACAAGACTTTTATAAGAATTCAATCTCTCCACATCCCCTCCATGCCTCGAGCCATTGGCCACCTGCCGCTTCGACCAAGGCTTGCAGCTTGGGACGCTCCATGGCCGACACCTGTGAGAGGCCCACGGTCTGGTGTAAGTTTCAAATTCATATGAGCCATAGTCTAAACTCCTAGCATCCCACGTTGTAACCCCCAACCCCTGTAGTCGTCCCATACAAGTCCTGTATGACAGGGCCAGATCGGCCTCTGGCAGCACGTAGACACGGTAGTTGTCAAGCAAAGGACGATCTTGCGCGCGTTGGAGGACATCTGCAAGCGAGTAACGCTCCGAACCTGTCCAAGATCACTTAGCAGCTACACTGCTTTACGGATGACCACAAGTTCCCAACTTGCAGAATGAAGTACCCTCTTGACGCAACAAAATGCGGACTACATAGCTTGCTGGCGACTGCACACCCTGAACCTGAAGCTTGACAGCCAAGCAAGGCACGTCCGAGAAAGCGCTTGGCGAATATCTGCTCTCCAATGAGATCTCTCAGCAAGTCTTGGCGCCTTACCTGGGTGACGCACAGGTGCTGGCGCATTACATGCAAAAAAAAAGGTTGCACGCTGTGTCAGACTTTGGGGTCAAGATGCTTCAGGCACGCGTGCTTCTTGCACACAGCGCTTGACAAAGGCTGGCCTCACCTAGAATCGCACTGGCTCAAGGTCACCACGAAGGGCATGAGGGCTTCTTTGGAGTGTGGTTGGAACAATTTTGGAACTTCAAGGTACTGCTTCGGAGCACTAAGACCCACACGATTGGCACCCCACCGCAAAGGGCGCACCTTCGGCAGCAAGCATTCAGAATGAGCCTCACGCTGGCTTGTGTGCTCGGCTGAGCGGCATGATTTTGAAGGTCCGGCGCAACCGGCAGGCCACCAAATGCGTGGCCTGGCACATGGGTCTCTAAACTATGGGTCCTACTGCTATGACTTTTAAATCGTGGACCGTCTTTTTGGGGCATCCCTGGCAAAGAATAGGCGGAAGCTAAAATCCAGTTTCGATTTCCGTGCCTCCTTTGTCCAGGCGTCGGACAGTGAACCGCCCTTGGACTCCAGAAGTCTGCAGGCCGCTGTGCGCAGATTTGCCTGAAGACGTGAAGAGAACCCAGGGGCAGATGAGAAGAATCTAGGGTTCCGAGCAAGAGGCTTGGGGTTGAGGGGAAGCAGGGGTAGTGTTAAGAGTGTGGAGTTTGGGCTTTGATTCTGAGAGCACCGGGCCTCAATCTCTACACCACTCAACGCAATGACTGGCCGCACAGGTGGCGCTGCCAAGACGGGGCCCGTGGATACCTGGAAGCTTCACGCTCTTCACATCCATCATGCAGAGTCAAGTTGAAGCAACTGCTAGCCTGGCCTGACGGACGCCTGGCGCAGGCGGCTGCGGTTCTACCGCTTCCAGCTCCTTCCGTTGCTGCAGCTCTCGCAGCCTCAGTGGCAGAGCCCCATACCCACAAAATGTGTGGGCCTCTCCCTCATCCTGCCTTGGAGATCGTCTGCAGGCTTTGTCCGGGGTCTCAGATGACCTGCCTTGGTGACGAACGTGGCTAGTGGAGCCAGCATGACTGGGAACCAAAGCTCCGTCCAGACCCAACCCCAACAAACAACAACAGGTTTCCGAAAATACCTTGTCCCGCATCTCCCCTAGATAACAACAAGTTTCCGAAGCCCCCACCTGCCTGCAGAAGAGTGATGCCTCCGCTTCCTGCGGGGCGAGACTTGTGCAAACATTTAGGCCCTAACACATACTGCGCAGCATCTGACAACTGACTACCAAGAAGGAAACCAAGAGCGCAATTGCACGAAAGCATGCTAACAGCAAAGATGCATGTTGAACATTCGGGGGAGGAAATGCAAGCAGCACCAATTCAGTTTCAAACTATGTCTTGGAGGATTAAGGAATGTATGTGGCTTCTTAACAAAATTGCATGGACTCTGGACAAGAACTGGTGATCTGCTTCATTTCGGGAACCTCACTCCAAGTCTTCAACCCCATCCACTTGTCCTAGTCGACCCTCTCAGTCAAACTGAAGCTAAATCCGAATGCTTCAGTGGGCAGCTTTTCGAATCAGGGTACCACCCATACTCCGAATTGCAAGGCCCCTAGAAACCTACAACTTCAGGATCACTGCCATGCCGTGCTCCCCATCTGCAATGGTATGCCTTTACAAGAAAAGCTTCCAAGGACTGGCCTGTTGGTTCACAAGCAGGGTAGTGATTTGCAGTTGCTTGCTGAGTTTATGGGCAGCGTTCCTTTTGCCTCTGCACGAGGCAAATGCCCTCTGGGCAGACGTGTTCCATCTCCACACAGCAGAATATTCGTTCCGAACTCCACTGCAGAATCCGACCCATTGTGCCACTTCTTGCCGTTCAGGGCACAAGGCGCAGCTCTACGAAACACTCAGTGTGGGATCCCTTTTGCAAGCTTAATCTCCCGAAAGACTTGTTGACGAGAAACCCTGGAGCCTGGGCGGTGGCGTTGCTGGCGGGGAGCTCGGTAAGGGCGGCTCCAAGATTGCCACATCTGCAATACCTTTGACAGGGTTCTGGGCTTCTCAGAGTCGTGTTGTCCCTGCTTTGGGGTTGCTGCGAACGAGATTACAATCCGCCTTCGGCATCTGGGGTGACTCATTCATGACGATAGTGGGAAATGAAAGAGTCATTAGGCGGTAGAATTCTAGCAACCAATTCCAACGCTAGCAGAAAGCAACCCCTCCCGACCTGGTTCCGCTGCTGGAGCCCCAGACTCCTCTTCATCCTCATCCAGCTGCGTGGCCGCGCACTCCTATGGGAGGACCAGGAAGCTGTATAGGCCAAAGGTGGAACGGATGTGGATGGCTGGAGGTTTCCATGAGCATCTTTTGCAAGCCCAGCACCTCATCTGGCCAAGGCAGCGTAGGAGCGACATCGCTGGCCATGCAATCGAACTTTTCGAGTTGTTCAACCCCTTCTTCCACGGAAACTCGTCCAAACCGCCTTATTCAACTCATATGTGTGACCACTCACATTCATCTCACCACACCATAATGCAAGCACGTTAGCAGCGAACCGGAGCTTTGAGGATATCATACACAGCCCGCTTAGAGCATGCCATGTCTTCAAAAAGTCTTGCAAGACTTGCAGCAGAAATGCCAATCCACCAATCATTCAATCAATCAATGAACATCCAATGCCGGCAGCAAGTCCAGCTGATCTTGTGCGTATGCTAGCACGGCATTTGTCCACATAAGCACACGGTGAATAGTCGTATTTGTGGCCGGCATCCAGAGGCTTGAGGAGCAACAACGCATCTACAACACGAGATGACGGTACTCTATTGGTTTTGGGATGTCGTGGCAAGCCTCTGAGTCCGTCCCTTCCCTACATGGCGCTCAACTGTTTTGAAACACTATGGAGCACTCCGCTCGGCTGTCACCAACCCTTGCCGCCAAAGCCTGCGCCCTTGTTTCCAAACAGGAATCCACCTCCCGTGCCTCCCGTGGTATTCGGAAACAAGTGGCCGCCCTTCATCCCTGGCTCACTGCCACGGCCGCCTTTTGCACCAGGCATCTCGCCGCCGCGGCCACCTTTTGCACCTGGCATCTCGCCGCCGCAGCCGCCTTTTGCACCTGGCATCTCGCCGCCGCAGCCGTAGCCACCACAGCCACCTTCGTCACCCAGTTGCAAAACACAAAACCTACCAAACCCCAAACTACCTCTCGCCACGTCGGTCTCCAAGATACCTTGGGCACGGCCCGTTGGTGGAGGCGGTGGGCGCGCAGCTGCTGCAGAGCGCCATGGTGGGGGCGCACGTGCTTCACCAGCACCTTTCAGTTTAAATCAACAAGTTGAAGCATCTACTCCGGCTGACTCTGGTTGGCAAAGCTGAGTTCGGCGCCGTTATCAAAGCCGCTGTTGGCACCACAGCCATAACCAGCAGCACCTGCACCTCGCCCGCCTGGGCCGCCTGGCCCGCTTGGGTAGCTATCACCGCGAGCCTCGTAGCCCCCACAGCCACCATAGCTGAAGCCACTCTGACTGGAGCCAGCATGTCCGGAGCCAGGGTGTCCAGAGCCAGGGTGTCCAGAGCCAGGGTGGCCAGAGCCAGGGTGTCCAGAGCCAGGGTGGCCAGAGCCAGCGTGGCCGGAGCCAGGGTGGCCGCCAGCAGGATGGCCGCCAGGGTGTGGGTGTCCAGAGCCAGGGTGGCTGCCAGGGTGGCTGGAGCCAGGGTGGCCGGAGCCAGGGTGGCCAGAGCCAGGACTGGGACCTCATCAGTTCTTGACATTGATGATGATTAACCACAACACCTTGCAACTTGGGGCGCGGCCCCATCCCTTGGCCGGGGCATCGTAGCCATGGCCACCTTTGGGGTTCGGAGCTTTGCCGAAGCCTTGCCAGGCTCACAACTATCAAGACTATCAAATCTACAGCCAAGGTGCCTTTTGCTGCACCTTTAGACGCTCCCATTGCTTGGCTTCCCATAGCGAAGCCTGGCATTCAGGCTCAGAATTTGTCCCCGGCCCGACACTAAACCCTAAAACCCTAAAACATAAACCCTGAACCCTGAAACCCTGAAGCTCAGAAAGCCCCCCGCCACAAACAGAAACCCCATCTTCCGGCCTCCGCCGTTTCCAGCAGCTGCAGCCATCATGGCCATCATGGGGTTGAACCTGGTATAATAATAATAATAGCACTACTAATAACCATGTTTAGGGTAGTACGAAGAATAATACAAATAATAGCAATAATTGGGGCAAGGAAGTTCTGAGCACATCGGCAAGAAGAGCAGAGGTCAAAGTATCCCAAACAGGTCAGCAGCACATGCCCATTCCTGGCCTCAGCGAATTCACTTGGATTCGTTGAGGCGGGCAGAACTCTATGCCAGATAGGGCTTAAGCGCTCTCTCATGCTGCTACACCTGCTACAGCTGCTGTAGGATATCTGCTTGCGCATCACAAGATCTTGAAGAAACCTTTGGCAACATTCCCATGATGTGACTGTCTTGGCTCCGTACCACTGTGCTGCAGCTTGCTTTGGAGAGTCATCGTCATCACTATCATCCTTGACTGTACAGAAGAGAAGCTACATGCCAACGTAGAAGCCCCCAGAGCGCTATCAAAGTCAAGTGCAAGTGCCTCTGACTCAATTCTATCACATACTTGGGGTCAGGCGCTTTCTCTTCTCCTCCTTGCTGGCTTCATGGGATCAGAGCTCTTGCACACCTGACCAGTCACGGGCAAGCATGCCCAATGTTAGTAATTCGACAGACTCAGGAACTTGAGATACCATCCCAACTGGACAGCAACTTCCGTGCCTGTTCAAAGGCGTCCATGGACGCCTGCCGCTTCCTCTCACGGTCCTGCAGGCTATCATGGTCGCAGTCACCATTGCCAGGGAATCATTGCTGGATTCCAGATTCAATAGTTATACATTTTGGCTCCTGCAGTTTGGGGTTTTGCATCTGTATTCTAAATCTGGACTCAATCTTCTCTGCTCCCGCTTCCCTCAGACAGGGTCAACCTAGAGACAGAGCTTCCGTCCTCCTCTGCTTCTTTCTGGCTTCTCCTGGCCTGTGTGATCTGAACGCTAACCACACATCGTGCAGGGTCAGCCTAGACAAATATGCATGATTACGCTGAAGAAGCCCCAATATGGCACATGCAAGATCCCCTACTGCAACACATGACCACGTGTAAAAAAAAGACTTGCGTAGTCGTGCTGCTCCTTTCTGAGCCACCTCAGGAAGGAACCTTGCTTCCGGCACGTACCCCAAAAACCTGAAGACTCCGCACCCCGCAACCTGTTCCCTTGTGCCATGCTGGGTGGCTCGCCTTCTCGCGCTCTTTCTCCTTCTCCCTCTCGCGATCCTTCTCCTCCTTCCCTCACAGTCTTCACTCTGCAAGACGGTGTCCCACAAACCCAAGCTCACTGAGATGAGGAACTGGTGTCACAGGACTACTCCGCTGCGCATGGACTTGTCCAAGAACACTGAGCCCCGACAGACTGGTCCAAGGTCCGGGCGTTTCCTCCTGCGTTCCTGTCGCTCCTTGCACCGCCAAGAAGAGTGCGTGCCCGATTGAGTGTTCAGAGCATCGTGGATGCCGCTGCGAGTTCTTGATAACAATGAAGTCCAAAGTCTTTGGGCGGTGCGGTAGGTGACTATGCTCTTGCCAGCTCAATCACTCCCGGAGGTCCTCCTCCTCGCGGCGTAGTCGCTCCTCCTGAATGCAAAAAGCTTTCAAATAGGAGTCAAGTGTCCGCATCTTGCTAAGCAATTTGGGAGGCAACAAGAAGAGATAACACCTTCTAGAACGCGGCAAGTCACCACATGATGCTTGGAATCTGAACTACTTAAGCCTTGCAACCCTCAACGTCTCTCAACACCCCTAAATGTCAACTCCAGTCAACATCGGAGCGTCCCCCTAGCTGAAAAACCTACAAACCCCAGTGCCCATGTCTTTTTCCATCCTCTTTTACATCACATTCTCCATCATGTGTGGGGTTTCCCTGCAACCCTGACGATCCTCTTCAGCGGCTTCCTTCTTTCGCCGCTCCACGAGCCTTCTAATGAAGCAAACGGAAACAACCATCTTGCTGGTTGCTGAAAGGGAATCCAGGAAGGGAAAATTATATGAAAGCTACTCGAGCATTGGGGGTTTACACAAGGATTATGAGAATTTTAAAGATATGTTGCTCCAGTTTTTGCTTGCAACCAATAAGCCATGTTCACCATGCATTGACAGGAAACACAGGGGCAGTTCTCAAATCCAGGATACTGCTGTACATTCCCAGGAAATGTACTGCTCCTACCACAAGTGAGTGAAACTACAACTGCTACCACAACGACTACAACTACAAACACAACTACCTGGAAGATAATAGAAATGCGTGTGCTAGAAGTCTGCCTGGCACGCCATTCTTCCTCTTCCCGGAGGCGCTGCTCCTCGCAAGACGAAGAAGATTGTATTGGACTTACTGACTGGGGTTTAGTAGGGAATGTGGGAATATAATCCCTTCAAAGTCCCTGTATAACATATTCCCTTACTCCCTTACTCCCTACTAACCCTCAGTAAGCTTAGCATTTGGAGTTCTGGATTTGGCGGTTTCACCAAGCAAGGCTTCCGAAGATAGAAAACAAGCGTACAAGCATCGCCAAGGGCTGCGAAGGGCAGTAAGAACAGGATCATCATGCTATCGAGTAGTAGTTTCCCCAAATAGAGGTTTAGGGTTTAGGGTTGACCTGGACGTAGATCCTAGGATACTGTAGACCTTATTATTGGGACCCAAAACAGGGACAGGCCTCTGCCTCCTTTTTCCGCTGTTCAAAGGCTGCTTGGACCTGATGCAAGGGAAGATTTAGGACGTTCTTGAAATTGGGCTGCCTTTACGTACGATTTTGGGATCCATAGAGGAATGCTGCTTCTGGAAGTAGGCATCCCACAGAACATCCTAATTCATTCCTTTGGGTGATATGGAGAAAGCCTCCAAGTCTTTCCTCTTGAGCCTGTCCCAAAACGACCGCCGCACCAGGATCTCAAGAGAAGACTATGAGAAAAACATAGAAGTAGATCTTCGAGACTGTTGCGGGGACTAGTCTGCAGATAAGACTTTCGTAACTCTTGTAAGTATGGCGGGATCTCTCTGTAAGAGAACGATGCACCAACTGCTTCGGACTTATTTGTTCGCATGAGCTTTATATGGCTTCGCCTGGATAGACATCAACTGAAACTAGCACAGAGAGAAAAACTTACACCGCACCAAATGCTCGAAGCACGCTCGCTACCCCACTTTGGAACCAGAGCTGTAGCTCAACACAATTTTGAGCAAAGCCTGCGAAGCTGCGAGCAAAGGCCCAAACCGCAAGACCCCCAAGCTCCATTTAGCAGTGCCTTCTGGCGCTCAATTTCCTGTGCTGCTTTTCGTCGCTGCTCCTTAGTCAGCCCAGCTCAGTTTGGCTCCTAAAACTAGATCTTGCAGAGGAAGAGATGCCGAGCCGTGAGGCAAAAGACGAGGCTTCGGCCTCCTCTTGCTGCTTCTTGCGTCGCTCTTCTTCTTGGCGCTCCGCCCTTCAGCAATCAGGGATCAGCTTCAGAAGAGGAGCAGTGCAAGTGCTGCACCACCCCATCTGAGGCTCATGCGCCAGCACAGCTTCCTTGCCATTTGCTCAAAACGATGCATTCACCAAAAGAGGGATCCAAGCACAAATACCTCAAGAAGGCTGCTTACCATCCCGTGCCTGCGTTGCGATTACTCGGCGCCTCTCTTGTTCCCAGACGTCGGGAGTCCTGCTCAACTCAGGACTTTAAGAAAACAACAACATGGAACCCGCTCCACACGAGAACCTCCCTCAGTCCTCGAGCGGCGCCTGGATCGGCTTTCTTTCTCCTCCTGGCAAGCCAGTTTCGAAACTCACTTCCCCCGCCTTGAGAAAAGGTGATGCAAGTCAGGACACCAAAAGCGGTCCTCATCACTGCTCTCCTGACACTGGACACCAATCATCAGAAATTCAGGGAGCCCCTTTTGGAGTCCTGGCCAGGCTCAGGACCTTTGAGAGGACACTCGGGTTGCCCCAGAATCATGAAGTGCACCTTTGTCAATGTGCATATTGCTAGCAAGCAAAGCTGCCAAAAAAAGCTCTGAGCACCATGCGCTCTTCCAAACTGCGCTATCCGATTCGAAGGTGGCGATCACCACTGACCTCCGTGTTTCAAGCGCCGGGCTCTCATGTTCCTCATACTAGGGCTTATAATCGCAGGTCACAATCAAACAATACTCGTAGTAATAATCCACAAAGCGCCCCTCATAAGCCCAGTTTCCATTGCATCTTCCATTTTTGTGTTCATGCGATTCTCCATTATTATGGGTGCACCATCCTAATGATATAGCTCTGGGGTAGCATCCTTAAACCCCTATCCTGATAATAACCCTGTATGACTGGTATCTCCCTGAATAGCCCCTATGATACTCCCCCAGATAGTAACCCTGAACACATATCGTCTCTGCCAAATGGATTGCCCAATCCCCCATTGGGTTTAGGGTTTTTTTTTACAACCCTGTGGACTATTTTCGGGTCTAGCTTACGCATGGGGGTTCTTGTTGCCCAGTCGGACTATGCTTTGCGGCCCGTCAGTTCAGCTCCCTGTGCTGGTACGCCTGCTGTGGTCCCTGTTCCGCGCTTGTTCCGGTTCACTACCGTCCTCATGGTTTTTTTTTTTTTTACAACCCCTCGGACTTTTGATGTGTTTAGGGTTTAGGGTTTAGGGATAGAAATTCCGCCAACCTGCAAACCAGCACCGTGCATTTAAACACCTGTGGAAAATGCACAGGCCACTCTGCCAACACTACTGGCCCGGAAGACCTAGAAGCCCCTCAGACCTCAATCCTCCTCAGTACTTCCTTACATAAACCAAAATCCCCCCTCCCTGATTATTGAGGTACACGTGGCGTAATCCAACATTACCTTCATAACACAATGACCTCTTCGCGGAAATCCAGAGTTCCTTTCGCGCACACCATCGCGAGCTTTCGCGGAAGCACGTCGATACCTCTTTCGCGAAATCCAAAGTTCTTTTTGCAAGCACCATCGCGACCTTTCGCGGAAGGCCTTCTAAGTCAGCCGTAATCGTTTTATATGAAAACCTCCACGTAGGGGTTTTCGGGCGATGCCCATGTCGCTCTATAGAGTTACAATATAAAGTAATCCCCTATAAAACCCATCTTTAACGAGTTTAGACTATATATAGCTCACATAACCATGGGGTACCCCCTAAATCCTAAACCCTTTACCCTGAATCGTAACCCTTAAACCTTAAAATTAAAACTTCTCAGCTCCGAGCTTGGCATGGTCAACCTTGGTGATCCTCACTGGCACCAGCCGCTTCAGCGAGGCTGAAAACCAGTTGCACCTCTTGCCTCCCAACTGGCTTGCTGGTAAGGAACCTAAATTAAAGCACAATAACAACAAGGGTAGTAAGCATGATAACAGTAATAAGAATAACATTACCAGCAATAAGGAAACTCCGATATTTGTTATATACACATATCATCTCAGATTATGGTAACTTAGTTTAAGTTCCTTCAAAGCAAGCCGGTCAAACAGCAGGAAAGGTGCAGAGGTTGCAGGAAGGTCTCATGATTGCTGGCAAGCATGATGCGGGGGAGGAGGCCTTTTCGAATTTTTGGTTGCTTAGATATGGCCTGTTTTGGGGCTTACTTATCTCAGGCTCCTCCTGACGGTGTCTTGGAGGGCCCACCCGCTTCTTGAGACCGAGCAACAAGGCCTTCTTTCACCCAAGCAGGCAGCACGAACTCCTGCTCCTGCTCTGCTGGAGCAGCCTCCTTGCATTGCAGCCATCAAGAGCGGCTCAACTATTGGCATTGCTTTGCAACCACGAAGATGTAACACCAAGCATGATGACAAACATTCCTTCGTCAATAGCAAGGGGACAAACATGGAATCATTACAACAGGTCTAAAACAGTAGTAATGGCAAGAGCAGTGATACGCAGAACCTACCCAAAGGCCTGGGCAGGCATCTGAGGTGCAACCTCCTTGGCGACAGGAGCAGGTTGCTCATCCGTAACCATGACCACGTCCTGCAGCAAAGATCTTTCCAAGCCATACTGGTATTTCTACAAAATAAGCTCAATGCCAACGCAAACAAAGAACCACATTTCTGAGAAACCATCAAGTCCTGATTCCCTTGACAGCCTTCCATCAGGACTCTACCATGCTTCAAAATGATCCTTATGCGGTGTCCTCATCATCGGATTTGACCTCTGCGTCTACCACCTCCTCCTCCTCATCCTCATTCTCCTCCTGCTGTGGCTCTGCCACCTCTTCAGGTTTCACCTGGACACGCTGGGTGACGAGAGGGCTTCGAAAACTTGACACAACAACATGAAGAACAAATAGATACCTCAACACGAGAGATCATGAGCATCAAAACGAGCCCATCATCTGGGCAAAAACAGCTTTAAAAAGAGAAACAACAAGAACAAAAAGCAAGAGTAGTCCTGCACGGATGGCCAGCATACCTGCCTCCTGTGGCACCTTGACTTCAGCCACCTCTGCCGGAGGCTCAGCCGCCTTTGCCGGTGGCTCAGCCAGCTTTGGAGGCTCAGCCACCTTTGCCGGAGGCTCAGTCACCTTTGCCGGAGGCTCAGCCAGCTTTGGAGGCTCAGCCACCTTTGCCGGAGGCTCACCCACGGCTTTCGGGACCTGCAACAACAAGAGCAAATGCTTAATGCTCCTTCATAGCACTGGCGACCTAGGAGTGTAACGCTTGCTGCTCTGTGCTGCTGCTGTCATGACTCATGAATGTTGCACGGAAGACTCATTTCGCTCTCGGTACCAAAGTGGGAACCAGTTTTTTGGCACACGCTGGCTAGACCATGAGCTGATTCTTTGCTGTCGCGAAATCTATCGCCATGAGAATGCTAAAGTTTCACTGTCGCGAGCTATCGCGCATAGCGGCCAATCTTGCATGTAACGTTTCTGCAACAATTTGTCACAGGCAGTGTTTTGGCCGCCACCCATGTGTTTTTCTGAAAGCTCGGGCTTCAGAAGTCAAATCTAGTTCTAATTGCAAGCTGAAATCTCCAATCCCAAGCCAACTGCAAACCGCATAGCCCACTCAACATCCGATCCTAACACTCTGCACCCAAACCAGCCCTGCTAGCCACAATGCCTGCAAAAAGTTCGGAGCAGGAAGTGATCAAACACAAAAGAATCTCAAAGGATGTTAGATCATGTCGCGGGAACGAAATAAAGGATGCAAAAACTCCTGAAATGCCGGGTTTGGAATGCTTCGGGCGTTGCGACATGGTCGTGCGCCTGCTGCAAATCATAATCGGGTACTGCAACAATGCAAAAACAATCTATTCTAAGAGTAACATCAGTGGCTGAATATAATCAATTCATAAGCAGCATCCAAGTGTTACTGAGTGGGGGCAAGCATGCGAAACCACGATCATGCCACATCAGATCTTGAGGGTGCGTCCAAAAGAAAGGGTTCAGCGAAACCGCTGCGCTTCCTCTTTTGTCCAGAGAACGTTCCCATCATGCTTAGAATCACCATTTTCAAGTGGGCATGGGTGGCCCTCCAAGAGTGGTGGCATAGTTGCAATACACGTGGTTTTTTCTTCGCCACTCAACCATCAGCAGTCCCTGAAACCTAAAACCTGAAACCCTGAAGCCGTAGGACTTGAAACACTAGAACTCTGACCTTGAACCCACGAAACGTAACATGCTGAAAACAGCACCACCACCGCCACCACCACCACCACCACCACCACCACCACCACCACCACCACCACCCGCCTCCCCAAACGGCCACCACGCATGTGCAAAAAACCTGCAAAAGCCACAAAACTTCTGAAACAGGGCAAAAAGGTCAGGGGACCGTAGTGTTGAGACAGTGTTGCGGAAGACATCTTCAAACTACAGTAGTTTCCAGAACTTAGAGTTCTAAGAGCGAAGGATTTCCCACATCAAATGTATTTTCCGGAAACCTCTTGAACCCTGCGGTCCTTCGGCTCCTCGGGCGCAGCGGCTGGCAGTTCGCCCTCAGCCACCCCTTTCCTCGGATATTGATAGTGGTAAACCAAATGATTCAAGTGACAAATGAACTTCAATCTGGGACAATACGGCGGTTCATATGGTTTAGGGCTGGGTAGGGACAAACAACACATTATCAGTAGGTACTATCTCATAGCTATAACCCCTTATGCATGCCATCATGGATAACACGAGTGTTCAGCAGTATGGCTATCCGGTCTTCGGGTTTTGGAGGGTTAGGACTTGAGATTCTGAGTCAGGGCTTAGGAAGTAGGGCTTTTTCAGGCTTTGGGGCTTTGGGCTTATGGTCTGGGGTGAAGGTCGCATCCCATTAATGCTGGCATTCAGACTTCGAGGCCCCCACCCTGATTGGAAGAAACTTCTACCATCTTTTCGACAGTAAATGCCCCTAAACCCTAAACCCTCAATTGGCCCTTGAACCTTACACCCTGAACCCAAACTTTGCGCATGACTAAGTTGTCAGGATCTCACAGTGCCAGAATTTCGGCTTCAGCAGGATTTCTTTTAAAGTACTCACTGACTCCAATTAAAAGAGAAGAAGCTACCTTTGAGGTATTTTGGGGTCTTAATATTGGGTTCCTTTCAACAAGAAGCCTCTATGACAAGGACCTCAACATAATCCGACACATGCCCAGCATCTGGTGCTTTCGTTCATCTCTCTGGCCAGCCTTGGCAGATAAGCACAAACGGCACAGATTTTCCATGGTAGGCTGCTGCTCAGAAGAATCAGACATGAAATAGGTAGAGGAGTTCTGGCACCACATGTTGTCTTGAGATTCCTCTTTTTATAGCACTCTTGGCATTCTGACCAAAGTAAAGCTATGCGCATGGCCGCTGTCCCCAACCAGACTTTTGGTTGTTACGACCAGATTACTCAACCTATCCACGATTTCCGCTGCCAGCCCCATCATTAGCACGACAAGGTTCCCCGCGCAAAATCTAAGGGGGCTTAGCAACAGCTTCCGTACAAGAGCACCGTGACTCACATAACTCGTCGAGATGATTTCCCTGCACACCATGCTGGGGTCCCAAACTCCATTTCTTGCTTTCTCCTCTTTCCTGAATCTATGCAGGATCCACACGGCATGGCACCAATGACCGCGAAAAATGTGCTTGGCATGCTCCATGCAAACGTTCCGAAACAGTTCGGGGTCCTTGCATCCCTGCTTCGTGATCGTGCCTGTTTCAGCACAGGCTTGTCCTGGCAATGCTGCACAACATGCATAAACATACAAGTAGAAGGAATCAATCTTTCGCTCCTTTTCCTTGCTGGGCTTGTCATGCTTGTCCTTCTCTTTCCTGCTGACATTGTGGTTGCTTCATGTCTGCAGGTTTGAAGGCTCTGGGCTCCGGGCTGAGAGGACTTCTTGGCCGGCTTCTCCTCGTCCTGTGGGCGGTGGCACAAACACGATCTGTTCAAAAGGGTCCAAGTGTTTACGTCCTTCTTGGGCTTCTTTTCTGCGGTCTTGGTGTCAGACTTGCGCTGATCTTCCTGGCACAGGACTGGGTGAGCTGATCTTTACTGTTTCCTGTTGAACCAAGTAAGATCTTTTCCCCGCTACATTCAGCAGCAGTGCTGATCAAGAGATGTGGCTTTACTCCTGTGCCAAGATCCCATTGTCCCAACTGTTCCTGCCTTCTCAGCCTTCGCTGCTTTCTCGACCTTCTCTTTCTTGCTGGGTGGCTCTACGGCTTTCTCCCCTGCCTTCTCTGCCTTCTTGTCTTTTTCACGTTCCTGTTGCCAACCAAGCTCGGCAAATGACCATGCAACCGCTTAACCCGTTGTCATACAACGCCGAGTGGTGGGGTATGTCTACCCTTCCAAAAGAAAGTGCTTCTGGTCCTTCTTTTCCGCGCGTCTTTTCTTCTTGGCTGCCTTCTCTTCCCGTATCTTTCTTGCCTTGGCCGCCTCTTCGTCGCTTAGCACGCGATGGCTGATGGTCCGTCGCACGGAGTCCTGTAAAAGCTCAGTCAGCTGCCAGCAGAAAGATGAGCCATGGCACATGTAATCGCGGGGTGCGCATATCTCTTGTGCATACAACACGCGTACGCAACACGTGTCTTATACTGTATTCCTTTGCTTTAAGCGCAAATGGCATGTGCGTCCTCGTTCATGGCTGTACTACTACTGGTGCTACTACTACTCCTCGACATCCTCCTCCTGCTTCTGGTCCTACTACTGCTAGTACTTCTACCTACAGTTTTCCCGCCTCTGGACGACCAGCTTTGTTCTTGATTTTCTGTGGCAGAACAATCTGCTTTCCATCGGGAACAGGCCTGGACTTTCCGCAGCACTTGTGGGGATGAGAATTGCTGGGTGTGCCTTCTCAAGTAATGCATCCTCCTGTTTGTAGATGATAAGGGATTTCTAATTTGGCACCGGGGCTAGGCACGCAACAGCAAAGATCCCAATGCAAGCCAGCGCACGTGTCTTCGTTACGCTCCAGCCACTGGATGTCATCCTCTTTGCCTCCTGATGCAGAAGCAGTGATCACCATCCTATATCGAAACCCCCTTCCCAGATTGAATCCGCGAAGCATCTGGATCTACGGCCCAGGGATCAGGTATGGTATGCGCAACCCCGCTTCCATGTTTTTGTTTCCAGGTTTTGTGTTATTTTGGGGTGCGTCTTCCACCCGTTCTGACATGCCCCCGCTCCATGCCGCCCATACCGCGTCTGCACCACCTCAAGCTCCAACGACATCTTGAGAAGTTGCGGAGCTTGTTTGCAGGTTTGCTCCGGTTCGTACAGGCCCTTCCATGTGCCCCATTTGCTGAGGCACACCTACAATTAAATGGAATTTTGAGAACAGCTTCTTGCGGCCGCACCTGAGATACACTACTTGCTTACCTCAAGCAACGAGCGAAGCAGACCGCAGCCCTGCCGCAACTCATGACATATCTTGAGACTATGCTGTTAAAGCCGCCCTCGCTCTAAGCAATATCTCACAAACAAAAGAAAGGGGGCAAATTGATTCAACCTTCACATGGAAGGAAGGGATTGCTGACCTCTAACTGGGCGGTGAAGATTCTCCACCCTAAACCGAAAACCTCAGCATCAGGCCTTCTTCTTGGAGTCCAGTACCATTGGCGGACACGTCTCGCACACCAAGCTGTAGTTCGTCCTGTCCAAATTGAAACATGGCTGCACTGCCAAAATCTTCAACATGATGTGCTGTCATAGAAACCCTACACCCTAAACCCTAGATCCCTAAACCCCAAACATTGAACCCTAGTAGAGGGTTACACGGTGTCTTTTTGAAAAGAATGCTGGTACTCTCGAAATACTCAAGCGAGACCGAGACCTTAGAATCCTACACCCCTAAACCCCTCAACCCTCAACCGAAAACCTGAAACTCTAAACCCCAAACCATCCCAAACCCTACACCCAATTATGATGTAGTAGTTTCCATTCCATCGTCCCTACATTACCCTAATATATGCCCCAATGTAATAGAGTAGCTTCCATTTTCTTTTCCATCATCCCTATATAAACCCCAAACTCTACCAAATCTGGGAAACTCTAAGCCCTAAACCCTAAACCCCTAAAGCCTAAACCCCTAAACCCCAAGCCCTAAACCCTAAACCCCGCTACGTCCCTACGTCTCGCCGGGTCTGCGAAAGGTTCGAGTGTGGGCAAGGCACAAAAATACTGAGAATTTCCATACGACATGCGTTGAGGGGAGCCCGAACGAGGCTTCATACCAGGTCGTTTTTTCTGAAAAACGACCCAACATAAAACAGCTTTCAGGGGTGAACGCCTTAAGGGAACCCGAAGGATTGCGCATGGTGAGGGGCTCTGTACCCTTTGACTGGACCTGCTAAGCCACAAGTTTCACTAGGATTTTACATGTTGAGATGCTACGAGTGCGCAGAATTTTGCATCTTGAAGGGCCAGAGCTGCGTTGTGGACTTGGAAGACCATAGTTTTGGAAAGGATGCTCTGGTGACAGTATGCGCTTGGAACGCGCACGGAATTATGGTTTGGGCAAAGATGCTCTGGCGACCGCATGCTCTTGGAACACAAACGCAAGTATGATGCCGGGGAACTACATTGAGCTGATAGCAGGCTGCAGATGTCAAGCGCGCAACCGCGTGAGAGTCGTGAGCATGTCTCAAGAAGAATTGTAGAATTCTGTTCTCGGCGAGACAGGTGGTCAGAAGGCTAAGCCCCATATATCCCTATAGAACCCCTATATTCCCCTTTAAAGGTACCCCCTTCATCAGTCAACACCAGCGGCCTCGCCTCGCTCTCCCCTCGAAGGAGGCGGACCTCTGCGTGTACCCAAGAGACACCCAGGTGGTTGACCACCTGCGCCGATTTTAGGGTTTAGGGTTGAGGGTTGAAGGTTTAGGGCTTAGGGCTCAGAACTTAATTTCTTTTAGGTTTTAGGGTTGAGGCTTGAGGATGAAGGATTTCGGGCTCAGAACTTAATTTCTTTTAGGTTTTAGGGTTGAGGCTTGAGGATGTAGGGCTTAGGGGCTCAGAACTTAATTTCTTTTAGGTCTTAGGGTCCAGGGTTGAAGGTTTAGGGTTTAGGGCTCAGAACTTAATTTCTTTTAGGTCATTGGGTTTAGGGTTTAGGGTTGTGGGTTTAGGGTTTAGGGCTCAGAACTTAATTTCTTTTAGGGTTTAGGGTTTAGGGTTGAGGGTTTAGGGCTTAGGGCTCAGAACTTAATTTCTTTTAGGGTTTAGGGTTTAGGGTTGAAGGTTTAGGGCTTAGGGCTCAGAACT